CGGAAAACCTGTCTGATTGTAGTCGAAACCATGACTCGTCCGAGTTATCCAGATGGAGTAGCTCCGGTTTCAGGGTTAAACAAGCTGGCCATCCCTAATTTGACGTGCGTCTCTTGCGAAATTTTTTACGTTTTCTACAATGCTTGAATTTACATATCTTTATAAAAACAAATATTAAGTTTAAAACTTACGCGATTAATTATGTAACCACAGTCCTATTACGTATAATAAATAATATCAAATTTTCCCCTTTATAAAAAACACGACTCTTGCCTGAAGGATACAAACAGTCTCAATTTCATAGTTACCGTCTGTTTAACTTTTCTAACTCAATTCTTCGGCCAAACAGCTATGGAGATCAAATATATATATATGTACCAGTAATCATATGCCACTTCGACTAAAAATTGTAAGTAAATTAAGCGCTGCTTTGGTTAAATTTATTAAGTTGTAATTTTTGTTACTATTGCCATAATACTCTCACACGGCGCATTCGACATATCAAATTCAGATGAGAGTAAAGTGTATTTCAGTTTTCTTGGTTAACGTTGCGAGAAAAGAACATGACCAAATTATCAATCATGATATGAGTTGTCGTGGGTAAAATTATATACTATATAATAACTTACGTAAACAGATTACAAGTTCGGCATTCGTATTTGGAGCTTGTGTACGATGCAGGCAACTAACTGTATTAAACTTCTATTATTCTCTATTTCTCATGACATTTCCAAACTTTAACGACCGTAACATTATTGATAAGATTGTTACAAATTCGGTAACTTGATTACGTACTATTATACTAATTATCTTATTTTCAGATCAACTCTAGAAATAACAACGTAACTACAAATTTAAAAATTTTCAACCCATATTAATATCTGTACCATTACTATACGAAAAATTTTGACAAATAAAAACTTGGGGCAACCATTACGATCGACTTACTAGTACAGTCAACTCTGTCTATAAAGGCTTTTTTATATCCGGTTTGCCTTAATTTTTATTAACAAAATTGCAAAAACGGAATTTTGTCACAGTTATTAGTTGTGGCGGTAGCGCCACTGATGTCATTGTTGGTGAAAGCAGGAACTAAACCCGTCATTTAGAGAAGCGAAATCGTAATAACAACATACAGTATAAGAGGGTCTGATACAGCGACTGCTACATGATATATAAAAACAAAGATAAATCGTATGAAACAAGTTTATTAAATTGCTTCGCAGTTCAAAATCAAATTAACAAAAATCATGTGATTCCAAAATTTCACTACCCGTGTAACAATTCAATATCTCTCGTAAACTGCCTTGCGCCGGTATAGCAAAGTTGACTGTATTCAGTGCTTTATTTATCAACCACATTTGTGCAGTTACATTAGGCTGTACTACCGAGTAGGAACATGAATGACGTATTGATGTGTGCACAGTTTGAGGATGACATTATTATAGTCCAGAAAAGAAAATTTATCAAACTCAAAGAAAACACTTTTTGATCAGGTGAACGTTTCGAAAACAAAGCTAAAGAAGAATGTCACAAGTGTTTTGTTCTGTCATTCTTCGTTGACATTGAAAATTTTGACTTTTTTGCACACACAAGATTTCCGATTTTGGAAATCGCAAAATTGTATGAATGCGCTTTAACAGTGGTCAAACATGCCGATCACCCACACTTGAAACGAAAAAATCGTAAATGGTCAACAAGTCTTTGGTCTAAAGTCTTTATTACATACTGCGCAAAGACTAATAATATATTATTGTTTAAACCGCATAGATATTGTATATAGCCATATTAACAGCATTAAAAATAGTGTTCTATATTTATAATATGTGACACTCTAACAGATCAAAAATACACATTTGATTCAACTGTTCAATAATTACAATGCTTTATCTGTCGTTATTCAATAACGAAAAGTGCCAATCCAATCAATGATACAACAAACGAAGAAGCAAAATACAAACGACTGGCCGATGATGCGTTTGCTTTGGCATTATTGTCAGTTGGGCCTGTAGAATTGCTGCTGGTGGAGGGTGTCGGTGTAGTAGTAGTGGTAGTGGACTCGTTACTAGAAGTTGGACTCGCAGCATCCGTGCTCGTAGTCGTGCTAGTGCTTGTACTGTTGTAAGATGTAGTCGTTGTATTACTCACATTTTCTTTATATGGCTTCGCTCCGACACATTCTGCCACAGACTTTATATTGAAACCGGCGTTTTTGACAATATTAATGACATCAGGAGCTGTCTTGGCGGCCACGGGGAATAAGTCGTGCTCAAGCGAAATGTGTCCTGTCGTCTTGTCTTCAGTACCAGCTGTAGCGTTTCCAGTAATGAGCGAAGGATCGTATTTCGGATTACCGTCCGAAAGCCAATCAAACGTGTCCACATCCCATATAATAATTTTGTATCCCAGCTGAGTCAAAATGCCTCTTACTCTGTCATCATAATCACCAAATGGAGGTCTCGCAAACACGGGAGTGACTCCGGTCACAGCTTTGATTGCCTCTTCGGTCCATTTAATTTCGGCAATAATTTGGTCGGTGGTCTGAGTCGTAAGTGCGGGATGTGACCATGTGTGCACGATTATTTGATGTCCGGCTTCGAACGCCCGCTTGAGAATTTCGGGATTTTCGACAATACGTGAACCAACAACGGCGAAAGTGACCTTGTTGTTGGTTTTATCAAGAAAATCGAGAAGTGCTGGTGTGTTTGGTGATGGACCATCATCGAAACTAATACCCCAATCTATATATTATTGAATAATTTGATGCGATTAATATCGTGTAAAAATAAAAATATAAAAACTTTTTTTCTCGTCTAACGTTTAAATTTATCTTATATTCTTACCTCCTGTTTGCGGACAGATTGTAATATCGCTCTCGTTCCTCACACAGTTATTACAAGACCAGTTACAAAATTCTTGAGCTTTCCTACAGTCACCTCCGGCTTCCTTTTGTATGGGAGCCTTTGGTAATTTTTTTTTATCAACCAACGCAGCCCATTCTGGTTTTAATGGAGGAGGTTGATCTAGAGGAGGCCAATCGCCAGCTAGCTCTGCCGCAGAAAGCGCTGAAAATGCAAAGAGTAACGTTGTTGTGAAGAACACGGATAAGGATTTGAGATGCATGTTGTATTTATTAAGCAGGTAATGGCAACACAATTATTAATTATATTATGATGCCGGTTATATCAATCCCTCTGAACCCGTATAAAGTTTATTTGCGAAAAAAAGGGAGAAAAATTTATAGTATGTGATGATAAGAGAGAAAAGACGTGTTGATGTTTGGAACACGTCTATTGATGATGACAATGGTATAATATGCTCTCACAATCCAGTGTTAGAGACGATGCGATGGGGATAATGTTGGGTAAGGGATTGATATTCAATGTGTGTATAATGAGCGATAGAGTGGGAGATGAGGGAGATGCCTTGGTGAGTGATTGCCCTTGCAATGCCGATACCGGTTTCCTCGTAAAGGCTTTTTATAGATTTTTATGAATAATGGAATTTTAATTCTTTGTTGCTATATTGTATATTTATTATACCATCATTTCTAGATATGGGAAAGGGGTATCAATTCGGGGTCTCAAGTTTTATCCGATGGGTTACGGAAAATAGTAAAATTCTAGCCCTTTCCTTTTATGACATGATAATTCTAAATCCGATCAATATCATTCTGATTGGCTTGTGGTAATGTTAACATAATTTAGATATCATTTGTGAACCGGTTGATAAGAACATTTTCTAAAAGACTGTTAGTGGCGGTGTGAACTTGGGGTATCGTTTTATCAGAAGGTCTTATTCAAGTACAGATTTAGTCAAACATTATCTAAAAAATCATTCTCTCTCAATGCAGCGGCATTGTCCTGCTTATCAGATGCGCACATTTGCCAAGCATTTCTTATCAGTACCAAAGTTTGAACACATGCTACATGGCATTCATTCCTTTCCGCGTTTACACACAAAGAACCACAAATAGTTTGTGCTTACTAATTATAATTGATAAACCCTGGAATATCGGAGTCGTTTATTCGTTGTGACAGTAAATAGTTATCTTAAAATCTCGATTAGGAAGTGTGTTTTAAATACAGTAATTGTTGAAACAGCTTAAAATCGCTCACCTACTCGACTATCCATAACCTATTAAACATGTTACCGAAATATTAATTTATTTCATGCGTGCTGCGTCTATTTGTGTAGCGAATGATGGTATGTGCGCATTCTCAGCATTAATTAATTGACATGCTTTATTTAGACATTGGTGTACAAAGCTGGTCAAGAGTTTAAACGATCATCCGCAAATCGAACTTTCGTTTACTAACAATAGGTGGATTATAGAATATACAGCTACATATTACGAGCATGAAATCTACATCTTTCGAGTATAGTCGGATTAATTAATATCAGACTGATCAAGTCTGGTTTAACCCGTCTGCCAAATAATATTTGTGGCCCATCAGTTCAATAAACCATTTCACTCCCCCTTTTTTTCTCACTCGAAACAAGAATCAATCTTTTACAAACAACATTAGTCATAAAAATACATTATTATTATTATTATGGGTGTTTATTACAAATTAGTATACGTATTATAATAATCAAATTCCTCGCACGAATAAATTCTCACCAACAAGATCAGCCAATCCACGCAAACATACATTATTCAAAAAGTTCCTAACCATCTCTGTTGTCGTTCCCGCAATTTTGACAACTACGCCACCTATACTTCTTTCGGTATCTACTGCTTCACGTCTATATATCACGCTCACAGACCATAGTAATTCTATCAATTTCGAGCTCTTATGAATTGTAATCTTTTTAAATTCACCGAGAATGTCTTCGGCCAACGGTAAAACCTTTGGCCCGTATAATAGTAATGTGGCAAAGCACTCGTACGGATGTAGCGTAGACTTCAAGTCCAAATTCCTTGCACTTGACAAGTCGAGTTCGTCGTCGTCATACCCGTTCTTGTGTTGATCTTGCAATAACACAACGTCCCTAAACACCATGTTCTCGCCGACAAATAAATCTACTCCGCTCTCGTATCTCATAAACTCCCACCGCTCTCCTCTTGACATGCGTCCACTTGTAAACCAGTCTAGTATTATGGCCGATGCGGTATCGTCTTCTAAACGAAATGTTTGTCTCTGCTTATAATCGGCACCTCGGAAGCATGTTGTTGGATCCGGAAGTTGCATTATCAAGGCATTACTGTAGACTCGCACATTCAATCTCTGTTCTGTCCGTTTGGATTTTGCATCTTTCATCGCATCGGTGCGCACGGTTCTCGGTCGTCGTTTAAAGACTTTGGTCGATCCTTGCGTCAGTAACATGAGGTTTACCCCCGCATGACATTCAACGTCAATGGTTATAAAGTCTCCAGAGACCAATCCTCCCCCATATGAAAGCAGATAGACGGCTGCAAGAGAGGGGGAGTGAGTGCGGGGAGAAAGAAATTTGAGGGGATACGATGCCGCAAAATTGCAGAATGCCGGTTTGGTGGACGCTGATGGGATGCAGCAGGATATTAGTCCATGGCCTGGATGAATTAGCGAGGGTGACATAGATTATGTGTTGAGTACTAAAAGTAGTTGAAATGGGTAAAAAAGAAAAAGTTTAATCATGTGTGACGTAGTCGATGAACTAAATTGAAACTATGCTAAAACGTCATTCAATTACCTTTCTTGGAAAGCATATGACGTAAGAATTTAGCATTGATTTACGTCTAATATGTGATTTTTAATATTAATATTAATTAACCACTGTGCGGCCAACGCTGTGTAACAAGTTACTACCGTAGTAGAGTATGCATCCCGCATTTGTGTTTATTGAATATCTCGATCTGGAGAGACGCATGGGCACATGAAATTCACGCAAGTAATTTATACTAATTAAGGTCGTCATTAACTAATTAAAGAGGCAGCCGTGACTTGGATCGGAACCGAACTAGTTGCGTAACTATTATATTGCTAATTATAATCAAACATAGTAATAGGCCGGAATATCCGTGCAAGAAAAATATAACCAGACCGTTGTATTACCACAGAATGTATATTAAATTGTTAGCTTGGAATAACTACTTTATTTCCGAGCTCAAGAAATGCCATTTTCTGTATTTCCCCGCTTCTCTTAATGATTACATGTTAATATTAATATTAATATTAATTATGTAACCGTGCTGTCACATTGTAATCGGAAATAAAATTTCGACTGCATTGGGAAAGAAATTCCTAAAGCAAATAAAAATGAACATAAATTTAGAACAACAATGGCAGAATATTGAAATTTGAAGTCTCAGGATGTGTTTCACATAGACCTCGTGTGGCGATTGAGCTATTGCTTGCGAGAAGGGATAACTGCCCGTTTAGTTAAGGCTTAAAAGTAACGATACGTTTGTTTATTATAGTAATGGAAAAGCGACGGGGGAAAATGGTAATGAAATTGGAGGGGAAAGAAAACCGAGCAAATCAGATAAACCATTGATTGTCAAAGTAATAATTACAACAATGATTCTTGGGACGTAAGGATAAAAATTTTTAACTAAAATGGCTTGGAAAATATTCTTTCTTCAGACACTATTCAGTAGATCCCATTTAGTTAAAAGTTACATGTCTAAAGGTTTACATCACAACGATCCATTAGAAATAAAGTAAAGGTAAACGTTCGAAAAATATTTCTGCTAACAAAGTATATACCGACTATGAGGAAATTTGCTTACGTTTCTATTTAACTGCATGCGACACAAAAGCTTTTACTACTCTTTATCTCGCTTGCTGCGTGTTTCGTCGGTCGACGCAGAGATAAAAATACGTTATATAAACAAAGTATATTCGTCACTAATGAGTCGACAAAGAATAAGCTATGACTAAGAGCACGGATAGATTACTTGCTTGCTGATAGTGAGTTTATAGCATACTATGAACGAGTGGAATATTAAATACTTGAGTTTTTTTTGCAGTAGTAAAAATGTGTATGATATTTAGCACATTAGTAAAATTCTTTCACAATAAAACTTGTATAATTTTTTTATGCATTCGTAATAACAAAAAGCCTTAAATTTTCAACAAAAAAAATTTTAACTAACATTATTTCTTGACTTAGAGCCGGACATTACTCGCGCACATTGTATTTTACGATTTACGTTTAATCAATTAATTAGTAAGTTCATTGTCTCAGAAAACGTTACTATCGCATTCTGACTATAGACACTTTTCAAACTTACAAGCAAATTATTATTAGATGTATTCGTCAATTTTAACCCTCCCGTTCAATACGTTGTGGATGTTTTTTTTATAGTAAAGAATTCAGAGCTTTTAAGTTACTGGCTATAATTAATTAAAAATTTTGAACGTAAATACAGATAAACCCTCTAAATGCCGTTGGAACCATGTGCATTTAGAAGAATGTGTTGTTTTTTCTTTCATTCAAGATTGTTAGCACGCTCGCTTGTGTTTTTTGTTGTGGCAAAAACATTTTATGTTTTTAATGCATTGTTGGCAGTTGCAATAAAAATCTCTCTATGCTACTGTCCATTTCTTCAGCATTTCCTTCTCTAATCAGTTGACACAGACTAATCGACATAAACAATAACAACTACAAATTCGTTGTTTCTTAGATGCATATATCAATTGTAAATTGACATAAATTTCAACTGACATATGTCAATTTAAAATTGACACAGATTCCAAATTGACATACAACAATTAATTCAAGTACGATCAGTCAACACGTTTAAGCCTAATACTAACCGTAATTTAATTTAATGAATGCAAATCAGTGCCACGATGGATTCTATCAGATCATCGTTCTTCAACACAGATCATCTGAACCGATGGGAAAATCAAAAATACGCAAATCATTGTACGACTGACAGTCTAAAATTACCGTGCATAAAACGACTAATACTAACCGTAAACTGATAATAATAAATTAATCGTATGATTAGATCTACATTTACCGTTAACTGAAATGGTTATAAAAACAATTATTATCGAATTAGATGGTCAATACTTTTAAAAACTTTGATCAAGCGACTCTTATAGAACACAATAATAACTCGTTTGAAAGAATACACTGGCTTTAATTGTAACAATAGTTATACTAATTCTAATTGCTATTATTACTATAAACCCAACACCTCAAAGTTCATTTTCATATACGTAATCGAGGGTTGGTTTGCTTTTATTATTCAAAATATACGATACTAGCTATTACATGAAATATTAAAAACATCGTAATTAACCATTGAATAGCTTCACAAATACCGAGATACCAAATTATAAGATGTTAACCTACTTTTAAATTTGACAGGTTCAAATCTGGTGGCGGTGGAAGATAGTCACTGTTTCTCGGCTTAGGTAAATCTCCTGTAGGTAATAGTGTACTCGAATACTTACTCTCCTTCTCGAAACGTGATAGTGGTTTTACGTCATTATGATAAATGGTATTCCACACGTTAGCGTCAGACTTGTCTTTTCCCATCTCATTAAGAAGGCCGTGAATAGCAAGTTGAAGTTGGTGTACACTTGGACGCTTATCAGAATCAGCATCACAACATCGCTCGGCAAGTTTCTTGTATTCCTCTGGTGCGAAATCAGGCATCGATGGTCGTAATCCGCCCATAATATCGCATACTAAGTCTCTATCAAACTGCCTATGTCTAAAAGGTGGTTCACCAGTTGCCATCAAATACATAATGATACCAAAAAAATACACATCTGATTCGTGAATAAATTTGCGAGTATGAAAGACCTCTGGTGCAAAATGCCTCGAACGGTTGAATCTCGTTGACGTGAATCCACTGATCTTGAGAGACCGAGATCGCATATTAATGGACCGCATGATCCAACACGACCTGCATCATGCATAACCATGTTTCCGCCATGAAGATCACAATGCACTAATCCCTCATTATGAATAATAGACAGAACACATGCAATACTATACAAATGATAGAATTTCTCCTTCCAGGTCAAATTGTTTATATTTTGATCCAAATAAGACAAAAGACTACCGTTGTTAGCATAATGCATGACAATCAGGCACTCTTTTGTCTCTGGTTCCTGCGTGATTCCATAAATTTTAAGAAAATAATTAAACTTATGATTCGCGCACTTGACGTGGTTTTCTGAACTATTAAATAAAATAAATACAGCGTCAACTTAAATATCAATTTAATTAATATTACCAATTATTATCATCGCTCACCTCAGAAATAAATAACTCCGGTGTTTCATTAAAACTCTTAAACTTTTTGAGTACAAGAGTTGAATTTGTTTTTATATTTGGCAGTATAAACTGTTCCATAACCACCAGATCCGATTTCTGTAAGTTCGTAAAAGTCACTATACGACAGGTAACTTACATAGCCATAGTAGTTAAGTCGTATAAATCTATCCAATAGTGCATGTATGTTATGGTAGGAAACCAAATGATATTCCCGAGTAAATGGTTCCCGAGTAATCCCAATTATCCAAATATTATCCGGCGTTAATATCGTCGGGTATTTCGTAATTAACTATTTTGAGTAAACAGAATGCCATTGATCAATTTAACGCACGATACGCACGTATTGCATTGTTTACACGCGAAATACTTTACCTGATGAAAATCAAATAATAGATCGCTTTCTATCTTTTTGAGTGTCACTTTTATCAATATATCATCCGCTGTCGGCTCTGACCAATCTGCTACACATGTGCATCCGTGGCGCAATGACGTCACCTCTTCAATCGAGAGTATTCAATCCATTGTATATAAGCATCGAATAAGTTTTTTGTATTGCTCCATGACTCTATGATAAATGAATCCAGCAACTCGTTTCCTGTAGTCCAATCAACAGGTCGTGGCGCTTTACATTCATAACAGAATGCAGGTATCCTACGTTCTAATTGCTTTGCGCACGCCAGACATAATACAGTTTCCGTTTCCGATTTTATTAGACAATACTTTCGTTTACTTGCATCATATGTGAATCCGATGGTAAGCCAAACATCGGCGACGAGAATATCTGGATGCTTATCACACACTAGCGGAAACGATACATAATAATTATTTAAACTATTCAATAAACATGACGCATAAGTAAATAGTTTACCTCGGCATAATATAAATCATGTGTCTCATCTGTTATCTCAAGTGGAATTAATTCAACAAATGCTCCATGCTCGCCAGTAACAGGGAAACCACGCAAGTATATGCCATATCCGGTATCTTCAATACAATCCATTCCAAATAAAGATCGTTTGCAGAATTCGCTTGCGCTTGTAATTGAGATTTCTTGATAAACTCGTCGAGTTGATGATTGTTGCTAGTCCACCCATCGGATAATTGTTTATAACCACAAATGCACCACACGGGATGTATTCCACATGCGGTGCAAAACCCATATCGAGAGTAACAATCGTACAACTTTCTATCAGCAACCATGTAGTAATTATTATCATGCTCTGTAAATCCAATTATGAGTTTGTTGCGATGGCAGAGCCAACTTTTGTGTCTTCTGAACCGATTATTGTTCTCACTGTACTTGTGCGTTGGGAGTGAGTATGTTCTGGCAAACTCGCTCACAAAGGTTGGTGTGCATTTTTCGCTACTTCCAAAGAATAGCCAACAGTACCATCGTTTCATCAGCGAAACGTCGCTTGTGAATAGCGTAATAGACGTTGTCGGTTTGACTTGACTTTATGTTGAAAATTTGTGAGTAAGGAATCCCTTCGACTGTATCGTGTCCATTGGAATGACATGATTTAATCAAGTCGTCCATTGCTTGATTGGTGAATGTTAAAACTTTGTTGTCGGAGAAAGTCAATTATTGTGTTACCTCGCATTACTGCATTAGATAAGCGTTTAGTATTGCAACAATTACATACTAATACAGCACGCAAGCTTTTTACTATTTTATTATTCTGCACGCTATATTTGGATGGCATTCATTTTGCCGACACAATATTTCAACGTTATTATTTTTTGGTCGGTGAAATGAACCGGACCCTTTTATTTTACATTTAAAAGTTATATAGTAGGCGTCCAATGGAGGACGTCATTCATCGATAGTTTTTGCAAACTTGTAGAGAGCACTATAGAATTGAACTATTTGAGTTTAAAAACACGTAGAATTTATAAACTTACAGTCCGAGACTGTCTAAAGTAAATTGGCTTTCTATATTTAAGAAACCCGTCCAAATCGGAATTGTACAAGTTTGCAATCGTTTTTGAATAATAATAAACTTTCTTCGCAAAACTGACGTGTCGACAATCTAATTAATGTTCACAACAAGATGCTATTGTGCGAAGCGTTTATACTGGGACAAACATCATAGTAGTCTTTTACGCTACTTGCAGCAAGTAATTTTGTGCAGAGACTTTCAGATTCGCTACAACATCCATCACACTCGTGTTCTAAACAATAATCTTTTTTATATTTCTCTAACGCTATTAAAATTTTTAGCAGTTGTTAACTGTTGATTCCACATTTTTGTCATATGACACTTCACTATCCCGATTGCCAACATAATTATTACCGCAGGACATGCAAGCAAGATATAACTGAAAATAGGATGGCGTATTTTCATCGTTCTTTCCGATAGACAGTAAGCGCATCACGAAGAGGAATAGTATCAAAAGGGCAATAGACCCAATATACAATATTATTCGAATACCGACCGAAATGCTGAGACACTGGTTTCCATCTGTACCAGACGTAACAAGCGAAGAGGTCGGTGCTGGGTCGGTGGATGATAATAAACTATTATAAATAAAAACAAGTATATAGTCACGTTATGTAAAATATCGATGCTTACATGGACAATTATTAGTCTCTGTCTTTTTTACAGTAATCATGGCATTATAGTATGAATACCTTGACGAGGATACCTCTCGGGTTGAATAGGTTGGTGACGACATATTCGTCAAGATTGTTTCCACATCTGTTTGTGCAGCAGTCGTAGATGTCGACGTATCGTATGGTGCACTTTATATAAAATCAATAGTTTAACATGACACCTTACAGGACAGCGTAGCATTACGTAGTTCTGTAGTTAGATACTTACCTTTGCGTTGTAGACGGGTTCATTGCAAATATACACGTAGAGTATACGATAAGTACGATAGGTATACAATTGATCATATTGTTGGAATCGATGACTCAGACCAAATATTAAAATTTACTATGTGTTAGTAATTAGTTATATGTGGGTAATAAACACAAACTATTTCAGTGAAAGAGCGTGTTGTCGTTTGTGTGTGTCGCGTCGTTATTATTATTCGACAAACGAAGGGAGAAAAGCGTATTAAACAAAGGTTACCGTAGGGCTTAAATATAGTATGGTTGGAAGGAGTCTAACTTTATGTCAATAGGCGAATAATGCATAAGAAAGAGACAATGAACGTAAATGTATTAAAAAGAGTGAATATTATGCGCACCTTGAATTTATTACTTTTTTAGTTAATATTAATACAATGATGTTGTGTATTACAAAGGAAAATGAAATAATAGCCAATGACTTTATACGTACAAAAATTCGGAATTCTTAATATTAACATGAATGCATGGAATCCTAATCTTAATATTTAAGGATATCTGTTCAATCTACACGTGTTGAAATTCCAATCGCTAGGGCGTTATCTATTGATAACTTTAAATACAGAAGCATCAATGTCTAAAAAGGAATTCACAATTGAGAAAAAAGCCCTTTATTACTAGATCGCAGGATTGCTTCATATAATGACCTTGAATTTCAGCATCATGGCTAGTTACTCTACAATAAACGTTTACCCAATTTTCTCACGTAAAATACTTTTCCTTGGAGAGAAAATTAATTTATAAGCAATCAATTGTTAGTATATCTGCAAGTCGCTGTCATGGATTTTATAAATGCATTATGGTGACATTGTCTTTTTATCTTTGACTCAACAGTATATTTATTCTAAATATCAAACCCTGTTTACAACGATACTTAAACGATCTAATGAATCTAACAAGACAAACGTTCATATTCAATGCACTAAAATAAAAACGGCTAGTAAATGACAATGCATTGCCCACTATTATTTGCAGTATTAGAAAAAGGTTCCTTATTAATATTAATATGTTAAATAACTTGATATAGGAATACAAACGTTAATGCCACGTGTCAATCAATCAGATGATTCATGTTGGCATGATCGACAAAATTAGTAGTTGTATTTATAAATTAACGCTTTTCTTGACATTATAATTACTTAACGTTCTGTTAATTTACATGTAAAGATTGCACACCAGCCTCTTTCGGTGCAATGCTGTTCATCCTTTTTATGATTCGCCGTTCAGCAATCACTTTCCAAACCGTATACAAACACATCCTCACAATTCTCCCGATACGACCAAACACGCTCTCGTTTTCATCCCACTCTGCATCCAATTTCAAAAGATACTCGGTCCAGTCCGTCATCACCCCGTCCACTCCCCGCCTCCTGCAATAATTATACGAACCACGATGATTAACTACCCACACAAAGACTAACTTTCCGTTCGCGCGAGCGTTATCTATGAATTTCTGGGCATGAAATCCCGATAATGACACAAACAAAAGATTGTATCCTGCCACGTCTGGGAAGTACGTCTCTGCTACTTGAAGAGACATTCCGATATGCATTATTGGTATCTGTGGCAGATAAGAGTGGCAATAAGGTAGAAACGATGGATGCCATATGCCAAGAAAAAGACGGGTTTTAAATATCGAAAGATCGTCATTGCTGTACTTTTTTAATATGCTCGAGAGAACTTCAAGTATAGTTGGACCGTTATTGAATTTGATATCTAGTACTGCGAAAACATGCGAGTTTTCGGGTCTCATAATGACCTCTATAATGTCGTCTACACGAGGAATCGGACATTGTGGGTTGCCTTTTGTTCTAAGGTGTTCGATTACGCCGTAATATGGTACCAAAGAGATACGTCCAGAACCAGTCGTAGTTCGATCCAAAGTTGGATCGTGACAAATAATTATTTGATCGTCAGCGGTCATTTGGAGATCTTTGACAAGAAACAAACAAGATATGGTTATGAAGATGGGTTTGAGACGTGGCGCTAAACTGTTTCGATACAATGGATCGATTTTTACCAAATTCTATCCCATCTGCTCCATCAGCTATCACTTGTTCTATTCCAAGTACAGTGTTTTCGGGATATTTATTGCTTCCTCGATGACCAATAATGTATGGTCTATGGATATTGGAGCATTCACTGGCCTTGTTTACAGTAGAAACGATATCTACATCACGAGCGACGAGACAATTAGAATTATGACCATTTACGGGGGGGTTTGCTGCCAAATAAAATTTACCGCATTTGTGTAAAAATATATAAGACAATTTTACGTACCATTCAAGAATATCTTAGTCATTTTCGATTGAGTGATTTCGTTGTTATTCAGAGGTTGTTTGCCCATATCTCTAATGTACTCTATATATACATATAAACCCGGTGATAAGCAGAATTATCCGATAAAAGCCCTAGTGTGATACACGGGGCGTCTGATTTGCCGTTACTATTACATTGATGGATAATGGGATATACCGACTTTGCTTCGATGAACGTATGACTGCTAAGTACTGTATGACCTTGAGGCTATTTCTATTTTTCCGATCCTTAATATGCATATTCCCCCCGCGAAATCTTACCGACAATCCATCTTTATGACGTCAAGTTGTAAGTGACTAATTTTACATGTCAATTTTTAATGACAGCGTGTGGTTCCGGAAAACCTTGCTATCAATCAAGTTGTTGAGCAGAAATAAGAATTTCGGAGCGCGCTATAGGAAAATGTTTACGCTTACAGCAGACGTCAAATGTAAGTTCAAATGTTATGTTATAATAGCAATCTCGTATTAAGACTTTTGGTTACCTACAAAAAAGCTTTTATCTTACTGCGACAAGTACCAGATCTATCGCAACATTTCAAGCTATAGAATATAAACATTTCAATGGTATACATTCTTTTTGGATGGTAAGATTACATCACCTGGTCTAGATATAATACCAATTACCGTATTGCCTATTTATTATTATTGCTTGTAAATAAGATCGACCAATTTATTCAGTGACGAATGACGTTTGAAAATATTATTAATAGATCGTTCATTGATATTGAATATTTTTGCTATTTATGCATATACTATCAAAACAATGACGATGTAATTAAACTACTAAACCAACCAAATATTTTGGTGTGCAGACCGACCTATCGGCCTGTGACATTCAACAGGTTACAAAAACTATATTAAATACGTCATCAACTTTGATTGCGTCTGCGTAAATAATACGTCAAGTAAAAAGCAGTAGTTCATTTATAGCAGAACGACGAAATTATGCAAGTATTGAGATGTGGTGCTTAATCTAGTAGTATGTATTATGAAGATCAATAATCGTTCTCTTTCAAATCCAACGTAATTTTAATTTGTAATTAAATTGACGCTTTGCGCAGAATCTTGGAAGCTCGCTAAATCGAACATTAAACTTACATTAGGTTAGTAGACTTGAACAGACATTGTCACAATCTCGCTAGTTGTTGTCTTAAAAAGGACGACAAACCATCGACCTTGGCAAATTACATGGCTCATCTCGGTAGCTCAAAGTCGGATGATCATGGGGACTTTCCGACGTGGAAGAAAACAACCCCCGAGTTCACACAAGGAATAAAACTCTCATCGTTATCTCAAAGTAATAATGTTTCAAGTTTGCTTTTGTAATTGTGTTTCAGTCGTTTGTTCGTCATCAAGACCTAATTTGGGATCAGCGAAATCTGTCAGCCCACGACTAAATTTGGATCAAAAACATTGCGGATAATGAGCCGCAACTGGGCGTCGGGTCGAAAGCGTTGGCTAACGGAACTGTGCTCGGGCACGATGCTTGCAGAATCTGGGAGATGCCATTTGGATGGCTACGTAAGCGTACTAAGCTAGATAAAGAAATAAAAATGTCATGAAATGTGTAGTAGTAGCGCAAACCCCCCCCCATTAAAAATGCTAGTAATAAGGAATGGGTTTTCATTATATTATTAATGAATGCAAGTCATGTATGAACATGAGACTATTGTACACAACCCCTCTTGATCACATCTTTGAGAACTCAATTGCTGTTTATTGTTACGTTCAAAAAAGGTCAAGTGAAAGAAGAAGAAGAAAAAAAAAATAAAGAATATGCAAGTCATGTGTAACAAAAATCAATCTGTGCAACGTCTTATTGTGTCCAGACCCTTGAATCTAAAAAAGCGCAGATTGTTGGAAAAGAAAAAGGACCATGCATTACGTTTAGCGGGGCGTAATGTGTGGCTCTCCCCGACATTTAAAAGCCGAATGACGAAAACGAAAATAATAAACCGGTCAACGGCTTGGAAAGAAGAAGTTCAAAAAGGGCCTAGATGCGACACCAATTGTTGTGTGGCGGGTCCCGCAGGTTTTTGTTTGTATATTCATTACTAATATGACAAGACTCATGACGATCAATATGTGACTATGACAATATCATCTCTTGTGAAGAATTGAGCGGACTTTTTTTTTAGCCCGCCCTTTTACTTGCAACTTTGACGACTTGCAGCAGGGAATTTGCTTTTCAGTTTCAATTCAGAGAGTTTAAACACACGTTGACAACCATGCGGTAAATTTTGAGTTTTGCGTATTGAAGGAATGTCGTACTTGGGTGTTGTGCTTTGAGGGGGAAAAAGAGGCTCGTTTGATAATTGGTATGAAAAAGGATATTTGGCCGGCCATTGTTTAAATATTTACTTTTGTGCTAGCCGAATTATTGTATACACGTGATAATTACATACTGCGGCATTAACGTATGGACAAGTCAAATGCACTAGACATGCATAATAAATAGTGTTTATTATGTATCTACGTATATGGCGTATATTACTCGTCCATCACAATGTATAAACTTTTATTTTCCTCATATAGTAACCACTCGTTCCGTTTCACTGTATATTTGTTCAACCTGCCCCCCCCTAACAAAATCTCAAATTACATATTAGACATTCGACTGACTTGCTTTCTCTCCTTTATTTCCCGGCCTTCTTTTGGTCGAATAAAATACAAAACCTATTAAAAAATATATTTATATTTAGAATTCTAGTCATAAATACATATAAATAATATATGTGTGCTAATGCTGTATCAATATTCCTTGTAAAATTATAATTTTTTATCGGAGATTTTTTCCCTTCTTTTTCTTATACATTCTTCAATTAAACCATAGTCTTTTTTTTCTTTTCATTTTCTTCATTCTTATGTACTTTACATTGCACTGGAATTGCTTTCATTCATCCTACATAGAACACTCTTCTTCAATATCCCGTAATGTTAGATACTGCTAAACGAGACAATGAACCTTCTTTACTGTCAACGACAGCTTTAGACGTTACATGGCCATTGTGGATAAGTCTGATGTTGCAAAAATTGAAAACCGCTTGGGTGCTTCCGGCTGTATGTTATTCGGTTGTAGTAAACGTCGTGGTGCCCGAGTTGGGGAATCTTTTACTAGCACATGTAATGTATGCATCTGCATCCGAATTGATTCGTAGAATGGATCCAAAGAATTTGGTAGTAAGTAGACGAATAAACAAAAGAACATACGCACAATGAATAATTCATGGCGAATTGCTGGTTCAACTATGTATACTAATAATAACATTGCTTACGTTCAGATAAATTTAACTCTTGCGTATTATAAATCGGACAATATAATATCACCTCTATACGGTGTATTCCTATCAATGTTAATACAACAGTTAGAACTGCAACAAGAACTGCAGCAAGAACTGCAGCAAGAAATGCAACAAGAACTGATGCCGCAACCATCATCATCACCGCTACCATCACCACCGATACAACAACAGCAACAATCACTACTACTGCAGCAACAACAATCACTACTGCAGCAGCAGCAACCGTCGCAACCGTCGCAACCGTCACAACCGGCGCCGCAGCCAACCATTGACAGAATGCAAGAAGAAAACAGACAATTCATGACTAGACTCACCAACATGGAGACTATTCTCAAAGCGCCACCGGTGAGACGACTGTCTCGCCCAACCCCACCATCACCGTCGACTCTTGTTGCCTACGACGACTCTTCCGATTCAAGCGTAGAAACGAAAAAGAGTTCGAGATCACAGAAACGATTAAATCGCATAAGCGAACGAAGAAGGTCACAGCGAAAGAATAGTGAACCTCTGTTACCATTGCGAGAAAACGTCAGTGTCGATGACATGCAAAGATTAAACCTCGATGAAAATGACAGTTACATGCAATCAAAAGAAGACGCCAATGACACACAAAGCATCCACGCTACTAATACAAACCTTCATACATCGAGCACTCGTCTCCAGCGCACATACTCTTCCTCGTCGTCCTCTCTCTCTTCCCTATCTCATCCGCCCTCTTCTAGCCTCACCTCCTTTTCCTACTCCTCCTCATCATCATCTGTAGATACAACGTATGACGAAAAATCCCTTTCTCAACAAACCGAACATTACACAAAACGCATCAATGACGAAGTACCACTCATGGATCCACTCCAATCATATGACCTGACTCACATCAGTACCGGTGGAGTAGGCAAAGTGTATAAAGCAACGCATAAGCGAAGCGATCGTGTTATTGCAATTAAAGCCGTACCGATAACGTCTTCCAAGTTAATACATTTGACTTATGCTGAAGTGTTTGCATCGAAAGTGTTGAGACATCCGAATATAGTGTCGTTTTATAGTAACTGTAGAAACCAAGACGATTTATGCTTATTGATGGAGTATTGTGAGAGGGGTAATTTGTTAAAAGTGAGGAGTAAGAAACAGGAATGCAAGATGGATGAAAAAGAAATTGCATACGTCATTAGAGAAGTTGCCAAGGGGTTGGAATATATCCATACTCAAGGTTTTGTACATCGAGATATAAAAGCGCAGAACATTCTTGTTACTATTGATGGCAAGATAAAAATAGGTAAGTAGGAGCAATTTTTTTTTAGAAATGAAAATACTACAAGAATATTTCACGTGACGTATTCTATACACAGAATAATAACATCAAATTTCCCCCCTTTTTTTTCATTTAATCAGCTGACTTTGGCTCAATTTCACTTCACCCCCGAGCACATCTCAAACTGGGTACTCTTTATTGGATGGCACCGGAACTTCTCTCCGACAAGCCCTACGACAACAAAATCGACATATGGTCTCTTGCCATTACGGCGATTGAACTGCTCGACGGTCATCCACCCTGGTTTCCACTCAGTCAACGACGAGTAGTCGAATTGATCAAAACAGTTGGAACTCCGCCGATACCGAGTAATGTGTCACAAGAATTCGAAGCCTTTTTGAGAAGTTGTTTGGTGGTCGACGTGAAGGAACGTCCGAGCGCGAAAAATCTGTTATGGTGTGATTTTTTGAAAAGTGGTATTGGAATCAAAATATAAATCAAATACGCGTAAAAGGAGAGAAACAAAAAACACCTCTTACTCTTTGTTTTGTATTACTGCTGGTTGGTTTCCTTTACATAGTTCCAACTCTTGTCCGTTCACTCTTGAATATTTAAGGATCATAACTGGTTTATAATCTAATCGTGAATGCCTCTAAAGTACAATTCGTTATAGAAAGCCTAGGCTGTTCTATAATAGATATTGTTCATTTGTATTCTATTTGTAATTCTATACTATCTTACATTCTTTAAAAAAGAAAAAGACTTGGTTGTATATGTATGAATGAATGTTATGATATCACACCTTTTGCATAGTAATTACTTGTGCACCTAATTAAAAGAATGAATTACAGCAG